GATGAATTCCTTAAAAGAGATAAGAGCTTATACTACTTGTGGAGGGAATTTGATGAGGAATTGGATGAATTCCTTAAAAGAGATAAGAGCTTATTGGATGGCGGTAGCGTCCCATGCATATGATGGAACTTCTATCTGACCAATGAATATTGTTGTCATTTATAGCTTCTATCACAATAATATAAAATTTGGGGTCAAAGCCTATGTGGGACTGAAAAGACCACTACACGCTTGTAGATTAAATTATATCTACCACCTCTGAAATTTTCCACGGCAAACCTTCCAACAGCTTGCACTTCTTCATCATTCACATCCTTAATTGGAACTAGATTTTAAGGCAAATCTTCTCCACGACTCACTTTGGAACACTTTTATAGATAGTTTCAACAAACTTACTTTGCTCGTGAATACTTTAGAGTTCAATATTTATAGTTGGAGAACGCTATTCAAATTGATAGGGTCGAATCTTACAACAAAGTCTAATTGAGCCTCCCTCTATTAGGAGATAGCTTCGAATCAAATTCTTTAGTTTGGACAATGGTTGCATTGTTTTAGTCAAACAACCGAGACTAGTGTACTTCCAATAGTATAAACATTTTGTACGTGTATTTTCTTACATAATAACAATTGTATACAAATAATAATTAAATTTATGAGTAGAAGTTTGGATAGAGTTTTATTAAATAGGTAATCTTAAATTTTTTATCTAAAAATATATAAGATTTTTTTTATATACATTTAGTAGAACAAAACAAAGATTCAAGAAGATGTCATTCATGCCATGTTTTAATTTTTATTCTTTCTTGTTCCCCAAAGATTAAAAAAAAAAAAGTTATCATCTCTCAAATATGGTTCGGTATTTGATTATTTTCTCTTGAGTGAATTTTAAGTGAAACACATTAAGAGGAATCAAAGTAATTGCAAGATGCAAGCTTCACACTAAGAGGAATCAAAGTCCCAAGTATCAACGTCCTTTAAGTGTCAATTTTTATTCTCCATCTCAACATAAATTAAACTTATTTTTGTGAATATATCTATTTATAAAAGCAAAATATCTCAGAGTTAAAAAAATAAAAATGAGTATAGATACGAGACATAAATATGATACCAAGTAGATATGGTAACTGTTAGGATTAGATTTGATTGAGTTATTTGGATTAGATTTGATCTAGTTATTTGAATTAGATTTGATTTAGTCATTCTTCAATTGGATGAGAGATTTCTCCCAATTCTTCTGATCTTTCCAATTTTCTTTTTCTGTTCCTAACAATTTGATATCAGAGCTATGCCCTAAACTAGTTAAAACTAGAAGCAGCAGTCTTCTAAGTGTGTCATAATAAAAGTATTTCGATGGAGAGTCCACTTGTGCAGTCTGATGGAGGAAGGAGTCAAGGTCGTGGAAGCTTTAGAGGCAGAGGAAGGGGACGAGGCAAACAAACCTTCAACAAGGCCATAGTGGAGTGCTATAACTGTCACAAGCTAGGACATTTTTCAATTGGAATGTCAAGCATGGTTGTAACCGAAAAGGGTAATGTACGACTGGAAGTGAATGGAATCTTAATGATAATCACAGGAGTGTTCTATGTGCCAGACCTAAGGAACAATTTGTTGAGTAGTGGTAAATTGCAAGGAAAGGGGTTACCTTTTTGTTTCAAAATGGAACATGCAAGGTGTTTCATCCTGAGAGAGGCTTAATCATGGAGATAAAGATGTCTTTGAATCGAATATTCGTATTGCATGCTATATCTCAGCCTGTAGCAGCCACTCAAACTCAATTGAAACTTATGGGGAGAAGTGGTTCAAGGTCTCTGTCATACACTCACCGCTCCAATTCCTATCGCCATAGTCAGAGAAGCAAAAGGGACCCAAGTCCTTCCCCCTATCATTCCATTACCCATTCCAGGAGAAGCAGCCGTTCAAGTTCCCTCAGCCGCCAATGCAGAAGTAGGTCTTCCTCGTTATCTCCTTTCCCCAAATTGTTCAGTTTCAGTCCTAGTTGTGCATCCACTGATCGGAATCATTCCATAGAGAAGCTTAAGAAAGAGGAAGAAGAAAAGAAAAGACGTGAAGCAAAGTTGAAGAAGTTAGAAGAAGATGCAGCTAGGAGGATGGAAGAACTAATTCAGAAGAAGATGCAGCTAGGAGGATGGAAAAACTAATTCAGAAAAATGTTGGAGAAAGGCTAAACTCTGAAGAGACTAAATTAGAAATACAGAGGAGAATAGAGGAAGGTCGCACGAAGTTGTTTGTTGATGTTGATGTGCAGTTTGAGAAAGAGAAAGAAGCCGCTCTTACTGCTACAAGACAAAAAGAAGAACAAGCACGAAAAGAGAGAGAAGAGCTAGATAAAATGCTGGAAAAGTATAGAAGAAGGGTAGAAAAAGCACAATGACGATTAGTTCTGGAGCTGCAGCGGAAGGAAGAAAAACAATATTGTGAGCTCGAGTTAATTCAGAGACAAAAAGAGGAGGCATCTCAGAGAACTAAGCTAGATGATAAGAGTTTGAGTTATGTTGTGCTGGTAGTTAGTGAAGAGTCAAAAGCTTACCGACTCTATGATATAGAAGCGGCAGATGAAAATAATGATATAGAAGCGGCAGATGAAAATACTGCAGAGGAAAATACAACCCCTTAAAGGGAAACCGGGATACTAAGGAATTAAAAAGCTTTATTTTTGACGTAGAACAATACTTGAAGGTTACTGGAACTTGCTCATAGGACCTAAGAGTTACGTTGGTCGCAATGCATCTCGTGGACGATGCAAAACTATGGTGGCGCTCGAAGGTGAATGGTATAAAAAATGGGTCATGCACCATAAACTCATGGGAAGATTGTTGTTGGAATTGATGCAATCGACGCTACTCTGAATGAGTTGCCAATCAAAGACCTGACGTTTGATGTTGACCCTTTTGAAGAAAGAGCCACACGATCGAACAGCTCGAAACATCGCGGTAACTTTGAGAACTCTATCACACACATGAAAGGACGTGTCGAAGAGTTAGACATTACCCAAAACATCATAGTAAAACTCTTCAGCGATTAGACAAAAGACTTTAGGACAACTACACCAAAAATTCATTGTTGTCCAACGGTTTGGATATTTGGCTTTCACCTAGGAGATTCTGGTTTGATTCTCTGAAATTGAATATTATTTTCTTATTTCTTTCTATTTTATAGTTTCATCTTTTGTCACCAATTATATTTAAACTTTACCTTATTTTAAGCGCACTGTAATGGTCAAGTTCAATAGTATCTTAGATTAAAAAGACTTTTATGAACATTGTACCTATGTTAGTGTTATGTTATAGATATTTGTTTCAATTTCAACAAGTGGGGTTGAGGTGATTCAAATGGTTAATGCGATAATCCGGCTATTTTCGAGGTCTCTCTTGTTGAACGCCATCATGGTTTAGATGGCACCCGAGTGAGTTTGACAAGGAGACCCGAATTTAAACTTTACCTACGTTTGAGAGGCACTATAATGGTCAAGTTCAATGGTATTTTAGATTAAAAAGACTTTTATGAACTTTGTACCTTTGTTAGTGTTACTTTGTACCTTTGTTTGTGTTACTTTGTACCTTTGTTTGTGTTACTTTGTACCTTTGTTTGTGTTATGTTATAGACATTTGGTCAAGTTCAACAAGTGGGGTTGAGGTGATTCAAATGGTTAATGCCACTTTATTTTATTCAAATTGTTAATGTGATAATCCAGTTGAATAGTTACAGGTTATTTCCAAAGTCTCTCTTATTGAACGCCAACAAGACTGAAATGATTGAGATGAGCACGTGAGTGAGTTTGACGAAATTGAAATAAAATCAAATAAAATCACTGAAAAAAATCAATAAAATAGATAAAAAAAATTGAAAAAAAATTAGCCTTATGACACTTCCTTCAACTCGAAGGGCGGTAAATAAAGGATTCCTTCGCCCAAGACCCATGATCCAACTCCCAACATGGAAATGATAAGCTATAGAATCATTCCAAGAACCTCATTGGATGGGTTACAAACTTACATTACCAATCTCGACAACTGGACGTGTCATCGGTGTTAGAAGAACGACCGCATCAGAGCAAGTCATGAGGATAGAAGATCCCGTTGGAGGATGATAGACCAACCGTAATCTTCAGCCCAACGAGCCAAGCTTTTGTAGAAGCAAGAACCCTTGTATTAAAGAAATTAACACCTTCTTATACAAAATTTTGATCAACCAAGAGATAAA